TAGTAGCAGTAGCAGTAGTAGTAGTAGTAGCAGTAGTAGGAGCAGCAGCAGCAGCAGGAGTAGTAGTAGTAGTAGTAGTAGTAGTAGTAGTAGATCGTCGTCGTTGTGGTCGTGGCAGTAGCTTGCCATTGTTGTCAGCACCTTAGCCTTAGCTTAGCCAATGAATCTTAACGCTGCTGCTTCGTTTACTACTCTTACTTCTGCTGGTTACGATCACATCTGGTCTTCCATACAGCTGCCGCTGCTGATTGGCTGCTGCTACTGGGGCCAATACCCACACTTCAACTCAAGCTGCTACTGCTACTACTGCTAGTCGTCCTGCGCCGCTCTCTATCACTCGCTGCGACACATGATCCAATCATGCTCACCTTACATCACCACCCAGGAGCCTTGCCAGGATGCTATCTACTATGCAGTATTTTATTTTGATATATCGAAGTATATTCTCGTACTGTAGCAAATAACTATAGTATTTGTAGTTGGGGGGGGGTACTGACCTTTTCCCTGAACATGCTGTCATTTTACGTCCTGCTTCGTTTTCACTACGACGAGCCGTAAAGCTGTCCTTGCAGCTGCGCTGCAGTTCTGCTGCTACTGCGACTGCCATCACTGTTGCTACGACCACTACTACTGCCACTATCACTACCACTACCACAGCCATTACCAGCAGTAGACCTCCTCCTCCCTTACACACCACGAGAGTATCAACAACTACAGTAAGAGATAACGGCAAGGAGCAGTAGGAGAGCAATTCACAGCAACGATTTTGACAAGAGCATCCCTAAGAACATGCTGGCAGCAACCCTAAGCCCTAAACCCTGAACAGTAAACCCCAAAACCCCAAAGCCCGAAACTGTACACCCTAAACAGAAAACCACACGATCGGAACCTTCTTGATGGCAGGCCAGCACTTTTGGAACCTGACGCTGATCATACATAGGGTTTAGGGTTTAGGGTTTAGAGTTTAGAGTTTAGGGTTTAGGGTCATTATGGTTGGTTTAGGCTTTGGGGCGGCTGCACTCCGATACAAGCAGCATGAACGCGTTTCGCAGGCATGCTATATGCTTTTTGTGTTTGCTATCCTCGCAGGTCTTGGCTATGTTTCTTCTGGCTTGAAACGTCTCTGATAGGTCAGACGCTTTGCAGGCAAAGCTGAGCGTCAGGCTTGGTATCGCCGGACACATCCCAAATCTCAACAGTCAGCCGCAACGATCCGGTCGCAGTGCGGACCTGTCATGGCACCGCGTGCGTTTCAGAAACTCTCCAGCCACATGGAGCCCGCCTCTGTCTCACACTCCAATATGCGAACGCCAGCAGTGGGACGATAAACCTGGCCGTTGCAGCCACAGCCACGATTTTGAAGACTCAGGGAGGATGGGAGGCAACAGCGTTGCATAAAATTGAGGAGCTATCAACATCGCCGAGACGGAAGCAGGCTCATCGCAACACTAAGCTTGGTGACGGTGGTAGCAACGTGCGTCGATTTTAACTCTTTGCCAAGTAATCCATGACTGCCTGCTTAGGCAAGACATCTCCGTTCTTTGCGTTGATGTCGAAGAGGTTTGACTCGTGGATGCTTTGCGTGCGGTCTCCCACGCACTCCCGTGGGACGACACACCTAAAGCCTTGCTGCATGCCGTCCAGCACTGAGGCCCGGATGCAGCCACTGGTGGAGCAGCCAATCATGATGCAAGTGTCGACCCCGATGGCACGAAGGTTGCACGCCAGGTTGGTGCCGAAAAAAGCAGAGGGATACTGCTTCACGAGGACGGCATCGCCCTCATGAGGGGCAATGCTGTCATCAATCTCGACCAGCGGATTGTCCTTCGTCCAAGTGCGCAGCTTTGGGATCTTTTGGGTGAAGATCCCACCATCGCTGGGGTGCTCGAAGTACACCTTCGTGTAGAAGACTGGAACGCCCTTGGTTCTCGCGAGCTCCACCAGCGGACGTGACTCCGCAACGGCATCCACCACACCGTAGCCGCTTCCAGGACAGTACCAAGAGCTGCCCGGTGTGGTGTAGGCCTCAGGGGATCTCTGCACTTTGCAACAACACCAGCTGCGACTGCCCAGTAGTAGCGAGCGCTATTCGATCGTTCTGAGTTCAGCATCTGCTATGATATCAGGTCTTCGTTCTGTTGCTACATTTTTGTTGAAGCAGAGGAAAGCAGAGGAATCCTCGTATAGAACCCATACATAAGCCTCTCTTGCCCTTAAAGAACCCTTATATAGACTCCCCATAAACCCCTACCAAAAAAACCTCAAAACCCGAAAACCTTCAAAACCCTGTACATCACCGAAAAGAATCCAACAAGAATCCACACACCCTAAAAGACACCCCTAAAGCACCCTGAGAAGGCTCTCCCTTTCCGCCTTGGTGAAGTCGATGACGATCACGGCAGACTTGGAGCCAAAGCCAAGCTGGCCGTCAAAGACGTCCTCGGCGGAAAGCGTCGGGGTTTTAGGTTTAGGGTTTAGGGCTGGGGTTTAGGGTTTATGGTTTCGGGTGTTGCCTTTGAGCATCTGCCTCCTCTGCCTGAAGTCACCAGGTTCAGGGTTCAGGGCCTAGGACTGAGGATGTAGGGCGTGAGGGGCGTTTGGGTGTGCGGCTTAGGTGCCGGAGAAGGATGATGTGGAGTCATGATATATAGATGTGCTATGTGTGCTATATACATACACAGCGCGACAAGATGAAGCGATGCCGAGTCATGTAAAGATGTACAGATGAATGAACGCCCATATGTGAAGGTGTCCAGATGGGGGGAGAGGCAGAGAGGGAGGAACAGACTACAATGCATCAAAGCAATATAGCGTCACATGTACAAGCTCCACATGCCACATAAATAAACCCTGAACCCTGAACCCTAAGCCCTAAACCTAAAACCCTAACCCCTAAACCCTCCACATGCCACATAAATATGCAATCCACAGGATGCTTCAAAAGAAGGCAAACAGCAACTTAGGGTCCACGCCGCAGCCCTAAGCCCAAGACCCTGAAGCCACTGTTTGTGGTGACTAAGGACTAGGAAGAAGTTTGTGGTGACTAAAGGACTAAGAAGAAGCTTGTGATGACTAAAGGACTAAGAAGAATCGGATTCTTGAAAAATCATAAGCCTGAAGGGCCCAGAACGTATTGTGACCCCGGCCGGCGCACCTTGTAGTTGCTGGCATTGTCTTCTGCCGCCTGATCCTGCCAGGTTTGAGGGCTTCGGGTTTCAGTGCAGGGGTTTGGTGGGTTGGGGTTTAGGGTTTAGAGTTGTTTTCGCAGAATTTTAATGTTTTGAAGGGTTAGGTGATTTAGAGATTTGAAGGTTGTGGTTTAGGGGCTTACTTGGAGGCCCAGGGGACTTAGTAAGTCGGTTCTAAGTAGGGTTACAAGTGGGGTAACTCCATTTAGGGTACTTATAACTCTACTTATAACCTACCTACTAAGTCCCCTGGGCCTCCAAGTAGGGTTGAGGATTTAGAGGTTGGGTCGGTCAGCTTCGGGGTTAAGATCCAATCTAGGAGCTTCAGAGAATAGGGGGCCGAGATCTAAACCCTAAAATCCCTAAAATTTAGGGCCCTTAATGTGTGAACCGCTACATGCAGTGCCTGATAGATTGAAGTCCCTGGCTGGCCTTCACCTCTACGGCAGAGGATTCAAGTTTGTACTCAGAGCGTCGTCTTCGCTTTGACGAGTTCTCCGTGTCCTGCAGGGCAAGGCGCCTGCCTAATGATGCACGAACCTATCTTCCAAATCTTCCTGTCTTTTCAAGAACGGCAGCCTCCAACTGCAGCATGTAGTCCATGACGCTCTGCTTTGTCACGACCTTCCCATGGTAAGTTGCAACAGGCATCAGCAAAGGTTAGTGACAAGTGAGCATTAGTGCCGGGCATCTCCGTTCTTTGCGTTGATGTCGAAGAGGTTTGACTCGTGGATGCTTTGCGTGCGGTCTCCCACGCACTCCCGTGGGACGACACACCTAAAGCCTTGCTGCATGCCGTCCAGCACGGAGGCTCGGATGCAGCCACTGGTGGAGCAGCCAATCATGATGCAAGTGTCTACCCCGATGGCACGAAGGTTGCACGCCAGGTTGGTGCCGAAAAAAGCAGAGGGATACTGCTTCACGAGGACGGCATCGCCCTCATGAGGGGCAATGCTGTCATCAATCTCGACCAGCGGATTGTCCTTCGTCCAAGTGCGCAGCTTTGGGATCTTTTGGGTGAAGATCCCACCATCGCTGGGGTGCTCGAAGTACACCTTCGTGTAGAAGACTGGAACGCCCTTGGTTCTCGCGAGCTCCACCAGCGGACGTGACTCCGCAACGGCGTCCACCACACCGTAGCCGCTTCCAGGACAGTACCAAGAGCTGCCCGGTGTGGTGTAGGCCTCAGGGGATCTCTGCACTTTGCAACAACACCAGCTGCGACTGCCTCCTACCTTGGTGAAGTCAATGATGATGAGCGCTGCTTTCTCTCCGAAGCCCAGGCAACCATCAAAGACACCTTTGCTCAGGCCGAACGTCTGACAAGACCTAGGGCCTTGCCTCATCTACAGCGAGCTCGACAACGGTTCTGCCGCGCAGTGTCATGGTAAATTCAGACACGGGCCTCGATAGTTGTCCTTGTTCTCTTCAGCTGCCGATGCCATCAAGCTGTTTTGCAGCAGAGACAGCCCACACCAAGGAAAGCCCTGCAAAGTTCGACCTATGCATAGGAAAACCGGGCAGCTTCAGACTCAGTTGAGGAAGTTGCAGTCGGAGATAATGTACATGTGAGGTTAGCTTGAAGCTGTAAAAGCTGCAAGGCAAGCACAAGGATTGCGATCATTGACTCCTCCTCCAAGAACCGGCCTTCCTTACATTTTTTTAGAGCCTTAATGGCTACACCAGCCTCCCTGCAACTAGGCCGACTAATTGTCCCCCGGACTCTGCACCGTACTACGTATCATCTCTGATGACTTCCCCGACTTAGAAGTTCTCCTGCAAGGCACCACTCCTGCCTCGGAAGCTGTCTCAGCAGCCTCTGCGATGATATTCGCTATGATGGACCTTTGTGGGCATTGTGGCATCGGTGAGCCGAGACGTCATGAAGCAGAGCCGCTCTTGAAAATGCCACTGCATGCTTCGGCAGGCGAGACAACACAGAAGAACAACGGCCCGGCTTTCCAGCTTCGGGCGGCCCCACGATTACGACCTCCAGCGTCTGTAGTAGTTTCCACCATCTTTGCGGTGATGTCACGTACACAAAGTTGAACCAATCAAGAGCCGTACATGGAATTCTCACGAAATTGATTGGGGCCTTAACAGTTAGAATAATGTTTTTGGGTCCCTTATGCTATAACTACGATAAGGAACCCCCAAAAATAGTATTGGTAAGTATCTAGGCCCCTATATTCCGTCAAACAGCGCCCGTCCTTCTGGCGATTGGAAGCGTCGGATGCCCTCCTTGGCTCAAAAGCGCGGGCAAGTCATGAACAATGCATATCTCTTCGGCACTGCTCGCATGGTTTAGGGTTTAGGGTTTAGGGGTTTAGGGTCTAGGGTTTAGGGTAACAATAGCTGGGCCTCATATATCCATATGATAAATGTTATTCAACTGTTGTTGAACGGGTGCAGTATCCGACATGCATCGGCTCAAAACGCCTGTCGAAGACAAGGGGCATGGTCGAGGCGCTGACTGGTGACCCGCTGGACACTTCAAGCTAGCCAGATGGGCGGCGCGGAGATTCAGATAAACCCCTAACTCCTAAACCCCTAAATCCTAAAGCCTAAACCCTACCTCCTAAACCCCTAAATCCTAAACCCAGATCCCTCCATCCAGCAAGTCTACTCCTCCCTTGCAACTCTGGCAGACAAAGAGGTGGATGCGAGGCCGGCCTCCCCCACGGAGAAGAGCCTGCGCGCGCAACGGAGTCAGGATGTCATGGCAACCTTGCACCTCTAAGACTCTAACGCCCCAAACCGCAAGCCATCAACCGGAAAGTCCCAAAAAGCATCAACATACACCCCCCTTAACCCTAAATTTAAATACACCCTAAATAAACCCTACATAAACCCTACATAAACCCTAAATAAACCCTACATAAACCCTACATAAACCCTAAATAAACCCTAGATACACCCTACATGAACCCTACATGAACCCTACAGAAACCCTACAGAAACCCTACAGAAACCCTACATAAACCCTACAGAAACCCTAAACCCAAGCTGTCCCAACCCTTATAAAAAGGTGCCCTCGGCTCTCAGACGCGCGGGTCCTCAGCTTCTCGGACTCCGAGCCGGAAAAGCAGAGGCCCACGATGGGACGCCAGTGCGACCTGGATGAGCGATTTTATGTGTATACTAGAAAAGAGTATAATGTGATGTAACATAAGATAAAATAAGATAACATAAGATAACATAATAAAACATAGTATAACATAGTATAACATAGTATAACAGTATATGACATGATATAACATAATATGATCCAAACTAAGCTTCGGCTTCGGATTTAGAGTTTAGGATATTGGATTTCGGATATACTTTAGGATTTACATTCAGGGTTTAAGGTGTCCATTTAGGAGGATAGGGGCCTTGGGTTTGGCGATTCGGCTCAAGGATTCAGAGGTTTAGGATGTTGGATTCAGGATTTTAGGAATTCGGGCTTCGGGCTTAAAGTTTCGGGCCTCGGTGCCCTGGCGAGACAGGCTTGAAGCAAAGTTTCTACAATTGCAGTCCGCGTCCAAGAAAATTTGCGCGCATACTACCTGCAGATTGTAAATCATGCATGATACGGATACTCACATAGTATGGCTTCACGCACTACATTGAAACATGGACCTTGTGCCACAAAATCATACACCATAGTTCATGCAGACAATAAGTTTATCCTATGCACGAGCTTTGCGTGCTGCATACGAACATGTCGAAGCATATCTAGCTTTACGAATTGCCGTAAGCTGCTGTAGGTATAGTCTTGCATGAAGGTGTGTGCTTATACATGTACATGTATGTGTTCACATTGTTGAAGCCTCTACCATGTGCTCAGCCCTGTTAAACTAGTGTGCATACTCTCAAAGCCGTCTTTGTAGAGTTGGGCAGACATTGTCCTGACTGCATGAGCTTACTACTGGAGATTAGCTCAGTGGCATTGCGTCGCGGCAGATACTGCCATGTGAGATTACAAAGCAGAAACTTACTCGTCCAGTATCCTAGCGGAAGCAAGGGCTAACCTTCTGGGATTATGTAGGGATTCTAGTAGCCAAATGAAATTAAGGTTATCTGCTCTACTACCATGAAAAGTAGCTGCCCTTTGCTGTCATGTTGGATTGGAAACAACGTCACTCTTGATCACAGTGTTGAATACACTATTGTGAAGTGCAGACTAACATATGAAACCATAAGTACATTAAACCATGTACTACGATATGTTTACATGATACTGCACCTGGGTTGTATCGCGCTATACACAGTGGATTAGTTTTCTGCACCTGAATATACGTGTGTCTACAAAATGCTTGCGAACGTTGTGAATAAGTCAGTGCATTGCGGTAGTCGCACTGTATACTGCAGCTTGTATCACAGCATCAACTCAAGAGACCTTTTGCGCTCTGAAACGTTAGATCTTTTGTTCACACGTGCATACTAATATGCCAACGCATGAACTTAATGTTTACACACGTGAATGTCCACACACATGTATAAAACACATGTGTATTTATATATATATACAGAGATAGAGAGAGCATTCATTTATAAACGTGTTTGTCCATTGCGGTTCGAGTTAAGGTTATATGTATATTGTTTATATACACATATATGTGTATATGTATCTGTCGATGTCACTACGAACCAGTCTATTCTCATGCACATTACGCGGTCTTGATATGAGAAGCTACAGCTACAGAATTGTTCGAGTTGCCTGCTTGTTCGATGCCCTTGCCATAGGCATACATATACATGTATATGCACGTACTAGTACATAATGTCCTACAGGAAGTACTCTGTCTTCATCTGTCTCATTAAGTTTGACCTTAGCCTTGGTTGCACTTATGTTGCATTGCATCTCGTCTCGCCGTGGACGACAATGCCTTATAAGTTCTCTACAGCATAAATTATCATGCGGTCTACAGATGTTCCATCTGTGAACTGTCTCTTTTGCGTAGCTTCTGTACTTGCCATTGCATAGTCCACTGAGCAATCACCATCCATCCTGACGAAAATCAAACCTCACAGTATCGGTCTTTCAAAGCCAGACCAAAACGAGCCCACGTCATACGGACCCCGACAGGGAACCCTCGTTTTATCAAGACTCCTTGTGTAGTGTGTACTCTCTGGGGTTTTGGGTCGAGGCCGCTTGTGTGCGGATAGCTCGTAAGAACCGAGCTTGTGCTTCGCTGAGTACATCCACTCCTGGAGCAGAGCATATTGAAAGGAATTCGATTGATGACATAGCCCGTGAAAAGGAGGCAAACCCTAAACCCTAAACCCTAAACCCCTAAACCGACACTCATCACTTGGTTAGCACTCGGCCAGTAGATAGGCAGCGAATTGTGGATGGCTAGCTCGCTGGAGCTACTCGGCACATCGATACATACTGATGTGTACTGTGACCCTAAAACCTAAACCCTAAACCCTAAACCCTAAACCCTAAAACCTAAACCCTAAACCCTAAACCCGATGTGTACAGACTTGTGAGAAAGCGGTCCTTGGGGAAGTTCTTGTCGTTCGGACGATGCGAGTATCGGTAGAGACCTTCAAGTCCCGTCATGCGGGTGCGGGTTAAGGGTGTAAGGCTTAAAGTTTAAAGCTTATTTGTATTGTAATCATTATTATTATTGTTATTATCATTACTATTGTTATGATTATTACTATTGTTATTATTATTACTATTGTTATTATTATTACTATTGTTATTATTATTATTACTACTATTATGGCTCATGTGATGAAGTTCCTTTCAGGGCCCCTGCAGAGTGAACGGTCGGCATGCGCCAAGGCCAGATGGCAGGAGTCTGAACTGAAGGCCTCGATCCGTCAACGCTCGAATCTGTAAGTATACTTACCTTAGTTATAACCCTACTTACTAAGTCCCATGATCCTTTAAGTAAGGACAGGGCTGCACTGCATGCCCCAGCATCTTCACTAAGCGGCCCACGATGTGCGTCACGCAATCGCGAGAGTCTCTAAAGGACACCACCTCCGAAAGGTCCGTGGATTTCAGAAGCCTTGGTCTGGTAAGTCTCAGTCTCAGTCCATGAAATCCTCAAGCAAATCCCCTCTGTCTCTGAGGCTTCTTCTTGCAGTGTCCGTTGGTGAAGCCAGCAGCCAGGAGCTTCCCATCGGGGGAGAATTGGAGTCTGCAAAAAGGTCGATCAACTAAAGTCGTTCTGGCAACTCCTCTCAAGTAGCGTTGAACTTGTCGGGCGCACATGTGCGGAACAAGCTTTTCGAAGATCTTCACCAAGTGCAAAGACCTGATATCCAGAGAACCACCTACACGGTATCTTGTCTGCCTCTCTTCACAGCTGCTGGCCTGGTGTTGTAGTTCCACATGTGCAGAAAGCCCGAATAGCCTGAGACCATGGGATGAACTAACAGCCAGAGACACGACAGAATGTCCCGGCACCGCACCACAAACGGCCACCAAGGGTAGCTGCGGGTGGCAGCAGAGCCCATGCACCTTGGTTTTTGAACCCGAACCCCTGAACCTAAACCCTGAATCCTAAACCCTAAACCCTGAATCCTAAACCCACGGAAACCCAGAGCAGGATAGGACTTCTGTGATGCTCTGAGGCTCCTGCTGGAGAGTCGAGCCCTTGAAGAACTAATCTTCCTCTGCGATTCTCCTGCATATTACAATATATTATTGTATTGGTTAGCACATAATCGTATATTGCACGGATATTATTGTCTACTGTGGCACATAATGCTAGATCTTTGAAACTGGATTCTACGGAAGTGAAGCACTGACGGCTTTTCTGTACTCACCGGAAAATGACTGTGAGGCATGAACAGAGATCATGATGAAGCCTGGCCAATGCTAGAATGTATCTGCCGACAAGCTGATGTCAGCCACACCCCAGCTCGCAAGAAATGCGCCCTACACCCTAAACCCTAAACCCAAGAAATTCGCCCTAAAAACCCTAAACCCTAAACCCAAAAGCAATGCGCAGTCCGGAGAAAGCTCATAGAACAGCTTCGACTCCACCAGCACGACCAAAGCAGAGCCTCTCAGGCCGAGGCTCAAATCCAGCTGCAAAACCCAGCTGCTTTAGGGTTTAGGGTTTAGGGTTTAGGGTTTAGAGTTTAGGGTTTAGGGTTTATCCCTTTACCTCTCCACTGCTGGCTCAATCTGCACCCGGCAGATGCCCATCCAAAAAGTCTCTCGTCATACGCTCCCGCTTCATCTACTAAGTTGTCAATACATGAAGCCATGAACCTGTTCATGTACAGCATAACTTGGACACGCCGATTCCACAATAATCTTGATCAGCTATCGAGCATATCAGCTGCCCAGCCGCCCAACGAACCAGTTCGTCAGACAGACACATGTGGGTAGTTGTCAAATTTATGGTCCCTTTTGGGGTACCCTAAATAATAGGTGCCGTATTATAATAAGGACCCAAAAAGGGACCATAATTTTGACAACTACCTACATGTACACAAGCATGGATGTGAAGTAAGGCTCATCAAATCAAGCCTTGACTAGGTAAGGTACACCGAAAGTGCTGAATGTTACTATTAAGCCATCCTTTCGAATCAGCTATACCAAGTTGCAGTTAGACAAACCAGGTTACAAATGATAAGCCAATGCTTAAAACAGCGTTTGATGCTCTTTGACCACTGTGTGGTTTGATCCACTGCACGTAGAAACTGCAGCTTCCCATGATGCCTCCCATGGTACTTACTCAATAACGAAGCACAAGCTCACATGTCCATGTATTTATATATTGTTTAAATAAATTTAAACAATATATAAGTTTTTAATTTCGCGTTGATTTCTTTGTTTATTTATGTGTGTACAAAGATATAGATATGTATGTATACATGTATATATATATATATGTATGTATGTATGTATGTATGTATGTATGTATGTATGTATATGTATGTATATATATGTATATGTATGCATATGTACATATGTACATATGTATGTATGTATGTA